TTTATCATTTAAATTTAATTCATTAATTAGGTTTAATTCATTAAATTTGAAAAAATTTGTAACAAAATATTTAAAAAATTGAAGTCCTGAAACTTCAAACTCATTTTTAATTAATTTGTGAGTAAATTAAAACTGATATAATAGAAATAAGGTTTGAAGTCACAATTTGAAATGAGGAGGGTTAAGAATGCCAACTTTCACCATTCCATTTCAATTTTCAACTCCCAGCTACCATACTTATTGGTCGAATTAAACTCCCCTGATTTTATCTGATCTCCGATTGGCCCGTTAATTACGAGGTACCCTGTAAAATTACTCCGTATTTAAAAACTGTGAATGTGAACGGGTTGTGGATCATTATTGGTGGTCAAACTAAACTCCCCTAATTATATGAAAATGAGCCCATTAATTACGGAAAGCTCCCATATTACATCCTCTTAAAAATATGTGAAATTTGTACCAAATAAGACTAAAACATAATGACATTTGTATGACTTAAATTTTTTATTTTCTAAATAGGACTTAATAATGACCTAGTTGAAAGAATAATGTCCAACAATGATGGACATTTTGTTAAATAATGACTACTTCCTCCTTCCCGGAGTATTCGTCCACTTTTGACTTTTGTAACTGTTCATCTAAGCACTTTGACTCATCAAATTCTCTCAATGTGTAAACCTAAATATAGTCATTTGTGATCCTGTTTGATTTGTCTTAATATATAAATTATTAATATATACTCCGTAATTTCTATATTTTTTTAATATACAAATTACAAGATAAAATGGATTAAAGAAGTGTATTGGATAGTGTGTAAAAATGAAAGTGGACAAATACTCTGAGAGAGAGGTAGTATGTATTTATATATGATGAGTATACAATTACTCATATATCCAAAATACTCTCCCTAATAACTTATCACCTCTACTACAAGCACAAACAAATTTTTTATATCCTAAATTAGAGTATTCTTATATTTAGGTGCTCATTTAATTGGATAATTTTTTTTAACACTTTAATATTTTAGACCTTTTTTTAACTCCTAATATTTTACTCCCTCGTAACCCGCAATTTGTAATCAAATTGGAGAGTATGTATTTATTTTATTTTTTTTACTCCGCAAGCACTAAACAAAGTAAACTTTAACACAATATATATTTGATAATTGATAATTGATGAGAGTATATACTACGTATATTTTTAAATAAAATATGAAATTTATAAAATAAAATAATTATGTTTAGAATTTTTAAAAATCTTTCAAAAAAAAAATCAACTACTTTCATTTTTTCCAAACTCTTCTTTGTTTTTCTCTCTTTTCAATTTCTTTAAAATACTTTCTTTAAAATACGGAGTAAGTTTTATTAGCAAAAGGGATTCACGATCATGATCAATGCATGTGGATGGTGGGGAGCCTACTGTCACTATTGTGCATCTTTTTTGGAAAGGAATCAAGTCTGTCTCTTTCTTTACATTATTGGTGTGTGTAGGGTCAATATCATTGTAAGAGTCGTGTCATGTCAGTAAATTCTACTCAAATCATGGCATTTCATGTTCATTCTACCACACTTTTCATTCAATGTGCAAGGTATGAATCTTTCATTTTTTTTATTTCTTTTAAATATTTTTAATATTTGTAATTTTTGAAAAAATATTTTTTAAAAGAAGTAAACATATTTTAGTAAATAAAATAAATTTTTAAAATAATTTTTTATAATTAAAAAGTCCAAAAATAGACTAAAACAACGACTTGCCACTGTATGTTACGACACTCTACTCATTTGCCACACAGTGACTGTGTTACTTTTTATTGGTTGAAAAAATTCATGTCACCCTGTTGCATTTCATTTTTGTCTTGTCATTGTCAATGCTCTAATACTCCCTTTTTTAAAGGATATCCCATACTCGAGGACCCATGAGTACCAGTTAGACAATTACTCAAAACGGCTGAATGACAATAAATTAAATTATAATCTCAATAAATTGACATAATAAACTTTATCTTTTGTCATTTGATTGAGATTTCAGTCGTTTCAAGTAATTGTCTAACTAGTACGTAGAGGTGGTCTTGGGATATCTTTTTTTTTAAAAAAAAGGGAGTATTACAATCATATAGACCCTACACACACAAATAATGTAAAAAAAAAAGAGAGACGGACTTGATTCCTTTCCAATTGGGTGTTGGGTTTGGTCTGAGGTTAAAAACCGCAAAGAGATGTATAGTTTTGCTTCATATATTCTAAAGCTATGTATGGAACCTGGAAAATGACAGGGGAAGGAAAGTAGATGCCAAGGAAAATGATAGTTTAATGTTTTGGTTTATCCTGGAAATACTGTGTGGAAAGTCGAATTGAATTGGAACTGCTTAAAATTTTACATATATTTTGATTTTTTATCTTTCTTATAATAAAAATATTCCCTCCGTGTCAAAAAAGGATTCCCACTTTGAATTAGTAGAGATTAAGAAGAGCATTTAAAAAGATATTGAATAGATGTTGAATATTGAAAAGTGACTAGTTATGACTTATGATTTGTTTAGAAGGATGAGAAATATTTTGGACCAAATATTCTTTGTTTAAGAGGGGGAGAGAGAAATAGTGGGAAATTTTTTTGCGATGAAAAAGAAAAGCAAGATTTCCTATCTGACGGAGATGGTATATAAATAATACTCCGTACAAGTTAGAACAGATATCTATGAGTCCGAGTCTCAAATATTATATATAAAAGATATAAAGGATTAATATAAATGGAAATACAATTAAAATACAAGCATAATATTAAATATATTAAATATATATTTTAATTATGGAAGCAATTTAAAATGGAAGCAAATTAAAGTAGCATAATTAAGTCAAATAAGCTATTTATTGGCGTGCGCTATAATTAAGTCAAATAAGGTATTAATTTTATTGTTAACTTACTATTATTAAAAAATCAAAAATTAAAAATTCACATGGTACCCTTTTATTAAACATTATACACTTAATAATAATAATAATAATAATACTTCCTCCGTCCCAGAGTATTTGTCCACTTTCATTTTTACACACCATCTAATGCTCTTCTTTAATTCATTTTATCTTGTAATTTATATATTAAAAAATTATAGAAATTATATATTAATAATTTATATGTTAAGACAAATCAAACAAGATTACACATGACTATATTTAGGCTTATACATTCAGAGAATTTGATGAGTCAAAGTGCTTAGAAGAACAGTTCCAAAAATCAAAAGTGGACGAATATAGC